TATCTTCTCATCATGGACACGTGGAAGTGGAACACGTCCTGTATCTTCTGTAGCTCTAGAGGTAACTCCAACTGATAAGCCACTGGTCCTACTCGTTCAACGACCCGGTATGGTCCAATGAACCTAGGACTTAGCTTGCCTTTATTGCCAAATCTCAACACCTTTTTCCATGTAGAAACCTTGAGGATTACCCAATCGTCGACTTTATATTCAATTTCCCTATGCTTGAGGTAGGCGTAGGACTTTTGGCGGTCTGAAGCAATTTGCAGCCTATCGCGTATCAACCAAACTTTCTTTTGTGCTTTGCGAACAAGGTTGGGTCCTTCGAGCTTGGGCTCGCTCTACTTGGTCCAACAGACCGGGTTTCTGCAACAACTTCAATAATTCAATTGCCAATTCAAGTTGAGTTAAATTGTGTTGAGTGTGAGTTCTGATTCTAACTTCTAAAGTTGTTTTAGTTATTTTAATCACTTAAATTCTTTATTTCTTTGTACTCTTTATAAGACTATTAGACTACAATTAGCCTGTGATAAATAATACGAGTAAAACTAACTATTCCCTCATCACTTAATTTTGGAGAGAACGATTGAGTCCAACTTAATTATTTGTTGATTTACCTCTTTACGCACTTCCTTAATCACCGGTGTCGGATCTCTATTGATCGCGATCTCACTCGACCTCCCCTTCGAGTTTTGCGCTCTTAACTCTTCCCAATAGACTTTGTGATCATGTTCACGCGGGTATTCAAGTCGGCATTTATTTGAATAGACATGTTATTTTTATGGAATAGTAACACTTCTTTTGTTTCACAAAATAATTCTTTTTTCGCCTTTTACTCCTCTGATAAAAACACCTACTTTTAATTTATGATCAAAGTGACTAATTTTGACTAAAAAGGTTAAAAGATGACAAAATACTAGGGTCAAAGGTGGTACATATTAACTTACTTATTATATCATCACATCTAGTGATTACATTGTAAAGCCAATTAAAATATATGCTCTACTTAAATTTGGTAAAGGCCAAAATATGAATGGTTTTATAAAAAGAAGGCATTAAAATTTGATGGGCACACATTATTATTGGATGTCTATTATTCATGATGCCTTGCTTTCCCATATCAAGTCACATTCATTACACAATGCAATTATGCAAATACATGAAAAATTCGAGGCAATGGCCAAGGAAAGTATAAACACAAAAAAGTAAAAACCACCAAAACAAGTAACCTCAAAAACGCCTTGTCCACACCTCCAAAACAGCTCATTAAAGAAAATACAGCCCGGCCGTTTAGGGTATATGCTTTGCCATGCATGGAAGTGAAGAAATTAAGCAATCCCAAAGCCAAAGAAACCCAAAAACAAAAACAAAAACAAAAAAAAAAAGAAGCAAAAGCTTCTCTGCTACAGCTCCGAAAATTACACCCCAACATCCCCTACAAATGCCCTCCGAATCCCCATAACTCTATCACCAATCCATCCACAAACCCATCGACAAGTAATATCTATTATACTTTTCATCATCATCTTCTTCCCATAATGGCTGCTCAAAACAGTTCCAGAAATGTCCTTCATGTTTTGGGTTGCATCTCTGCATGTATATTATTGCTGTTTGTGCACAAGGGCAGTGCTTTGGAGTTAAATGTTGGAGGCGATGGGGTTTGGAATGTGCCTTCCGATAAGGACTCAAACCGTTACAATCGATGGGCTGAAAAGCATCGCTTTCAAATCAATGACACCATTGGTAATTATGTTTCTATCATCTTTAATACCCAATTAACATAACAAACAATACTAAACCTGATGAGTTTAATTAATTACTCTCAACAGAAATATGTACTTATTATTACGCCTATATTTCTCTTTTCATTCGACTTTTAAAATTAACCATTAGAAAAATCACATGGATTGCAGTTTTTAAGTTCCAAGACAAAAACGATTCAGTGCTTCTGGTAAGCAAGGAGGACTACAACAAGTGCGATACATCTAAGCCCATTGAACAATATGGGAGTAATGGCGGCGGCCAGCAGATGACGGTCACGTTGGGTCACTCTGGTCCATTCTACTTCATCAGTGGGCTCCACTGCGACAAAAACGAGAAACTCGTGGTCGTCGTCCTGGCTGACCGCCGCCACAACAACCCCGCGGCGCCGCCTCCTCAGTCCAAGAACCCGACAACTCCGTCACCTGCCCCGGCTGGCGAAGGGTCTCCCCCACCGCCGCCTAGTGGCCCAAGTCCGTCGGGGGTGGTCACCCCAACTCCGGCGCCTTCCATAGATTCTCCTCCCAGCAAGAATGGCGGATTCCAAATGGTCTCCGGCTTCGTTTCCTCCATTGGAGTAACTCTTGTGGGCTCCTTGCTCCTGCTCTTTTAACTTGGAGGGATTCGTGTGATTAAAATGTAAAAGTGTGGCCTGGGCGCATTAATTGTTTGTTGTTTGATTTTAAGTGCATAAAACTTTGTTTGAGAAGCCCTTTGGTCGTTATGTTTTCTTTTCTTTTTATAATAAAACTTTACTTTCTAAAAATATGGTTTGTAGTTAATAAGAAGTTGTAATTCGTTTTCTAAAATCAATGCATATCCAATTTAATTTTAACCCATGTAATATTGTCATACTCAATTTAATAATTTAAATGAAAGATTCTACTCTCTTCGTCCCAGAAAGAGAGAGGAGCATATTATTGAAATGAGGAGATTGTAGATTGCCGACATAATTTTTTTAAAACGTAAATAATTTTTGGGATAGAGGGAGCATTTTTATTTCATTTATTGAATATATATAAAAAATGATGCCCTTTGATTTTAAAAAAAAAAATTACAGTGGAGAAAATTGCCAACAGCATGCCATGTAAGATAAGGCCAGGGAAGAGCCTGCGTGAATGCCAAATAAGCATTTCACAGGCCGGAGAATGACAAATCCAGTAAGGATATTATTTTATTATAAATTTTAAAGACGAGATATGTTTTTGTCGCAAATTTAAAATAATTTATCTTTTATTAAATGACTCAAGGTAGACGTATCTTCTAGGAAAAATGATGAAGTAGGAGCTCAAAAAAAAAAGAAAAATTGTAGGACATGATTAAAATTTTACTCCGTAATATTTTAGGCATGACCGCATGACTATATTTTGGGCCCGCAATGCCCCACCTCCTAAACATTCTAGGTCGGTTCACGTTTAATTCTGGGCCAATAAATCGACCATATTGGACAGTTCGGTTTAGACCGAACCCAACCCGATCCGGTCCAAACCCGAAATGATTTAGGCCCGGACCAATTGGAACAAATTGACCTAATAACTTTATTGGACCTAAAAAACCTAAATACGTAAACTCTACTTTTTAAGTTCCGTAATACACTTTGATGCTTTAACTTGAATAGATATTTTAATTTATTTAATTAAAAAAGTTTTTCTTAAGAAATTTAAAAAAAGTTCAAAAAAAAAGTTTCGCATCAGTTTTTATTATTCTACATAGAAAGTAGTCCATGTGGTGTATCCATTTTTAGGTTGTCTATTTTTTTTCCTATTTGTATGCTACAAAATAAAAAGCCTAAAATATTTGTTTTTTGAAAGACAAACTATCACAACCTAAAATACATTTAATTGATCAAAATATTTTAAAAAATACATTTTTATTCGGTCCAGACTTGTTCACTCCTAAGTATATATTTCAGTCCGGTCTGACTAAACCCGAATAAATTAAAGTCTGATCTTCAGTCCGTGATTTCAATCAATTTAGTCATCGGCCCGGTCTTTGATCGATGAACACCCCTAACCTTGTCCATGCTAATTTGCACTCCCTCCATCCCAAAATATCATTATTCTTTCTAACTTGACAAAGTAGCTTGATTGCGAGAAAGATTGAGGTCCTAGATATTTGTACTGTGTGTAAAAATGGCAGAGGAGAATACTTTGCATCAGTTGGTCAATTGCACATATGCACGGAGCATTTGGGGAGGCTTCATACTTCAATTGGTTTATTCCGCATAGGGATTCGTTTCAAGCATGGATATTTTCGGTGTTCTCTCTCTTCAACATGGGAGATCAAGCATTAGCTTTGCAGTTGCTTTAGTTTGGAGTTTATGGAAGGCAAGGAATGGTCGGGTTTGGAGAGGAGAGGTTGCATCACCATTCGCTACGTGGGCTTAACTCGAGCTTGTTTCGAATGATAGTGGGTGGTGGGAGGCAAAACTACAACAACGAGATGTGGAGGCATATATAGCGACAAAAACTTGGGAGAAGCTACCTCATGACTTCGTCAAGATTAATGTGGATGTCTCGATGCGGTTGGTCAATGGAGTCTAATCTCAGGGTTCAGTTTTTTACTGACGACTATCAATGGACTTTTATTATAGCACAAAAGTTGTTTTTAGGGGATTTTCTGGACCTAGAAAAGCAGAGGCAATTGTAGTAAAGAAGGCTTTAACCTGGATCAAGGGCAAAGACTACATGCACATATCATTGTGGAAACATATTGACTGATCTTATTTTAATTCTGTTATTGATGATTGTAAGCATGTCTGGAGTCTTTGTGACAGAAACCTTAAGTTTCAATTTAGTTTTTGCTCTGCCAATGTTGTTGCTCATGTGTGAGCTCGAGCTGCTCATGTGTGACTACTATTTAATTTAATATATTGATTTATTTTAAAAAAACCACTTTTACCTTAAATAATTTTTACACTACCTATCATATCATACATTTTTATTAATAATAAAATCATCATATCAAGATTAATTTGTGAAAGTTAACAAAAATATATCTCATCCTTAAGTTATATATAAAAATGAAAATAAGGAGATTTAGGGACAGGGGAGTAGGACAAAAGTTGCAAAAAATAGGCTATAGGTGCAGATTGGTTTACCTCCATTTACTCTCTTCAAAGGGCTAAAAAAAAACCATTTTCTCTTGCCATTTATCCATCCTTCTCACAACAAAAAAGAATTAATTAGCATTGTGTAAGAGAAGGCTTGTCAAATGTTGGGCATTGTGGCAATGCGGCTATTACACAGTACATCTTATTCACTGCATGCACTAAGAAGAAGCCAATAAGTAAGCTATAGAACAATTCAAAGATGAAAGGAACTCAAGCATTGGAACAAAAGCTCTGATAATAAATCAACCAAGACTTGTCTGGACTCACTCACTCTATATCTATCCATATGGTTTACTACAGAAATGCATGTCTATATCTTCTAATTAACAAATTACACAATAAATGCAGCCTTTATCAAAGAAATTGTTTCGCGTACAAGTTTATGTACAGTCAATACTGACTGGGGAGGAAGATGATAATAATCAGTAGAAGGAAGCTGCTCATCATCCATTATTTGAAAGCATATGGTGAGAATGCTTCCACCGCCTCCATCTAGAGAGGCAGGTAGGATAACAAAACCAGAGGGCAATATCGATACATGATCTATGTCTTTCCCGTCTAAAATGTATCTCATTGCTGCCTCATCCACTGGTGCATACACCACATACACTGCCTCCGAATCGGTGAAGCTCTCTTGTAGGTAAATCTTTGCTTCTTGGTCTGTTGTTCCTAGAGACTAAGATGAAGATTTCTTATGTAAGTGATGATAAAAAAAAGGCTAGTGACTGAAGTTGAGGTAAAAGGTTGGGGGTTAACATCATGATCACTTACCTCGACTATGAGTACCGATACAGAATTTGTAGGGTCTCGAGCAGAAGAAATTCTCATCTCATCCCGAACATTAGAGCCAACAGACAATAGATCCCACTGCAATATAAGACACATGTTAGGAATATTATTAGGAGAAAATGTTTTCTTGTATTTCTCTTATTCATAATGAGTTGAAAGTAATAATAATAGAGGAAAAGAATCTCGAGAGGCTGAGAATTCTAAAAAGAACCAAATTGTACAAGGAAACAAACAATACATCGAGATATATACCATAAAGTGTATTTCCTAAAATATGCATGTGTGATAAAAAGGGAACGTCCATATAACTTTTCAAATGAAGAAACCGCCTATACTAGCAGTGATGAAGGGGTCGATTAATACGATAAGCTATCGAAAGAGACATCCAAAAGTGGAGTACTCGTGCAACACTAAGGATATGACAGAGTTTCCACTCCATCCGTCCATTCTGTTGAGGCCAGAGTGGAGACACAAGATGTCTTATCAAGAATATTTTCTTTAAGTGTTCCTTCAATCAATGAAATTTTGTTTTACTGTCACTTTTCTCTTCAACTTATCTGATTGGTTTTGATATAATTCCATTAAGTTTTGATCTGATATATATGACTGTAGTTATATATAAATTTGTTTTTTTATCTGATTTGATTTCCATAGGAATTAGTAATAAATAAAAAACACCAAATTGAAAAGAAAAAGTTTTTAATGCGCTTCTCAAATTAAAGATTTAACGTTCTTTTGTAGCAAAAAAATCATTCAAAATACGGATTACTACGCACTTTGAGTCTAATAAATATACCCAAACACCATGGGAACAATCATCAACAATTTCCAAATAATAGAGTAGAACAACTCAAAGCGGGTGTCGAATAACAAATAGGGCAATAAATCATCATGCACCATATAAAAAAATTGTACTTGATTGATTATAATCGATGGCTAAAACTGTGGCTCTTCCCTAAAGCTTTTCTTCTTTTTGTTTAAAATCTAAGTAATGCTAGTGCTACACAAGGTGTCAAGTGTTAGGTATGTGAGCCCCAGAGACCAATCTATGAATAAGTATCTAAACATTTATCAAGAATAAAAGGCCGTAAAGATTGTTTATACATCTCGTGTATCTAAACATGGCTTAAGCCCATAAACTTAGCGCTCTGGTACCATATATTAAAACTACGATGTTCTTATTGTGAGACTCTTACATTAATAGAGGTCATATCTAAAAAGTCTTTGGTCAAATATTATGATAATACAGACGTCATAATCTACTAAGACTAATATGTAAGAGACAAGATAGATGCGTCTCATAGGCTATGGATATTATGATATCTCAATCTGTGCGTATGTACATATCTAGGATATGGTACTTGAATGGCCCACCATGAGAATTCTACATGGATATTATTTTAATGTGTTAGTAGTATTCTCATTCGACCATTGGTAATAAGTATCCTTGGACTTGGGGTCGTTACGATCTTTAATATGTAGAACTACATTCTTTGATTCATGACTAATGCCATCTAAAATACTGGTGGACGAACAATTATGTTTTGAATATGTAGTTAAGCATATGTAAAGGCGTGAATGATGTAGAAACAATTTATTCCTTCTATTGTGATGAAGTGTAATGTCTTCAAACCCACTGATTGATGTGACTTGGGAAGTGTATGAGATAAATTAATATATGTGACATTAATGTTATTTCAATCCCACAAGTCAATCTGAGAATTTGTAAACTAACGATTTAACTTTGACAAGGTGACAATTCCCATACATTGTGTTGAATTAAGACATTAGTGATAAAGGGATAAGAGTTGTACAAATGTAATGTGTTGTTGGAAGTATTGTTGCAATGAACGTTATGTGTATAACTTGGGTAGTGGTAATGTGTTGCTAGATATTGTTTATCGTTTAAAATATTAATTATAAATTAATATTATTGCTAACATTATGAATACCTAGAAGGGTTGCACACATAAAATAATTGAACGAAGTAAAATATTTGAAGTGAATAATATTATTTACGTGTGACGGTAATAATATTATATGATAATTAAGTTTGTCAAAATAATAATAAAATATGAAGTATATATTTCACGGTAATTATATATATATATATAAAATTTATTTTGTTTTAATTATATGATAATTAAAGTTGGTAAAATAAATCCAAATATTTTATTATTATATGGCCAAAATTTTGAAGGAGTAAAAAAGGAAGAGTTTGATTTTGTTTCCAACTCTGCTACAACTAACTACTTAATTTCATTAAGTGATTAGGTTCCTTTATAAATATGATACTTGATCTCCACGACAAGATGGATTAACGCAAGGCCTACATTTTCTCTCCCTCTCATGCGCCGATCTCTTCACCAAAAGAAGAGAAAATATTTCTAATACGTAGTATATACTCCCTCTATCCCATAAAGTGTTACCCATTTTAACTAAAGTTGAAATTAAGGGATGGATAATTTTGTGTTGACTTTCCAAAAATACCCTTGATGTGATGGGTAAAAGTAGGATGTGATGTGTAGATTATTAGAAAAAAGGTATGATGTGATAGGTAGGGTTTAAAAAAGTGAGGGGTAAAAGTGGTTTTTTAATAGAAATGGGTAAGAGATTGTGGGACACAATTTTTTTGAAACGTGTAAATCTTTTTGGGACGAATGGAGTATTATTCTTAGTAGTATTTTATATTTTTGGAATACTCTAGGAAGAATTTACTAGCATATATAAATTTTTCTTAGAACTATGTTTGTTGTTCGTGTGGAAGCACTAGAGGTGAGATATCTTTGTGGCTACGTTCGTTTAACCAATCTCTCTATCTACACTGCCCGATTTGTTTTCTACGAGAAAAGATATTTTTCTTAACAACAATTTATAATTTTCGTAAGAGGATCTTAATTGGTTGGTAACAGCGTCTAGATACAATTTTTTTTGTTTTCTATTGCATTTTCTAAGTGACGTTACCCAACATATATCAAGGTTGTATCCCAAGTTTTACACTTGTACCCCAACACTCATCCTAGTACACATTTTTATCTATTCATCAATTGTTTTATGAGTGGGGTTCCGTTGATGTACATTCGCCAACGGTGACACCAACGGTGCTATTGCATTTTTGGAGCATCTCCGGTGCTCCAATCAAAAAATTAATGGTTCCTATGCACTTAACCCACACCTAAACCCCCACCCTAGCCCCACCCCTAGCCCCCACACATTTGGAGGGGCTTAGGAACTATTAATTTTCTAATTGGAGCGTCGGAGGTGCTTCAAGAACGCAGTGGCACCGCTGGTATCACTGTTGGCGAGTGTCAACGGAACTGTGCCCTTGTTTTATATACACTTTAAAACATATGATGAAATGCATGTTGGGGTACCCCATACATATTGGGGTACAATCTGATGTACCCCAAATATTTTTGTTCAAATCCATCTAGTGACTAATAAGATACTACCTCCGTCCCTAACTATTACTCTGTCCCAAAAAGATTTACACGTTTTGACTAAAGTTGAAATTAAGGGAGTGATAATTTTGTGTTGACTTTCCAAAAATACCCTTGATGTGATGAGTAAAATAGAATGTGATGTGTAGATTATTAGGAAAAAGGTATGATGTGATAGGAAGGGTTGAAAAAGTAAGGGGTAAAAGTGGTTTTTTAATATAAATGGGTTGGAGATTGTGGGATGCAATTTTTTTAAAGGTGTAAATCTTTTTGGCACGGAGGAATTATTTGTTTAATTTTGACTCTTTTCAATCAATTATTTTAAACCTTTAACCTATAATTAAATAAAATACATATTATATAATAATTACATAAAATAATATTTTGAAAATATTTCTTATAATAAATCTAATAAAACTATTTTTATCAATATCGAATATTATTTTTATTTAATTCGAAGTTAAAGTTTACCAATTTTGACCAAAAACAATCAAATGTCGACAAATACTCAGGGACGGATGAGTATTTTTTCTTATTCTCAACCATGACCACAAGCCTAAACTTTATTTCTTTCCCGATTGTCTAACCAAGTCAAACTACCTTTAAATTGTTAAACACAAAAAGTTTAGGCGTATTTGAGAATAACGTTAGAGACTAGCGTTAGTGATTTGGATAAAATTTTAACGGTGCAGATTACATTGAAAACGCTAACCCTACACGCTGCTCGTAAATAACCTTTTAAAAATGCTAACGCTAATATCTAACGTTATTCCCAAACAAGCTCTTTATAGATCAGTAGCCAAGAAAAGAAAAACCCATTTAATTTGGCCAAAAAAATTAACACTCTTTTTAGAAAATACCCTAGAAAACAAAACCACCTAGCAAAGTTTTGCATAAGAGATAGCTAGATTGCACTCTTATAATAAAAATAAGACAAGTTAAATGAGAAAGAAGGATGATGATATATAAGGAATTCAAATAATGTCTTGGAGTTACCTTGTTGCGGTTACATCCATTGCTTAGGAAGCCAAACAAGTGATTTTGAGGAATCGGTACCCGAACCGTAGTACAAATCGTCAACGAAACGCCAAGAGGGAGCCCTTTATTAGGATCATCCTCTAAGTTGTTCATGCTTGCTTTGACAAAGATTTCCTCTCCTGTTCCATCACTTATGGGTAAGGCCACCCATGAACGTTCACTTACGTTTCTACAATAACGCCTAACCATCCTTTGAGTTAGCTTCAATAGATTCTTATTCCCAGCCCCTATCACTATATATGCATATCATTCATTAGTTGAGACAATAGTAACTACCATAAACTGTGAATCAATTATATTCTTAATTACACCATTATTAACTAGCTTGTTGAAGATAATAATGATTATTACCTGCTTGCGTCTCTAGACTCTGCATCCTGTCATAATATCGTTCCATCGTTGCAATCATACGTTTTGAACCGAATGGGGAGTCCGAAGTAAGTAAATAATCCTTGAACATATCATGAACAAAAACATTGTCAGCGACGACATTATTGTTCTCCACCCATGTAACCTGAAATGGTTATTTAGTTAAGAAGTTGGGTTGGATTATTAGAGGTTATATGATGATTAAGTTATGTGATTAATAATGCGCATTAACTAATTTGAGATATACCATACATAGCCCGGGCTGAATTTCTTGGATTAAACAACCAGAGGGTCTTCTATTGATCAAGTATGGTGGTAGTGCTTGATTAGGGAACAAACTCTCTAGGGAAACATCAGTTACTATCCAAGTATTGTACTCTATTTGCCTGCAAAGTCTTGCGAATTTAACCTCTTGAGGCTTAAACAGTGGTGAAGGAAGATAGAACTCTGCTGTCATCTAGGAAAATGACAATAGAAAAACAAAATCAGTAATAGGAGTTTTAATTCTTAAATACTCTTTATAAAAATGGATAAGCAATTCTCCCGTGTATCTTCTTTACATTTGACTTTTCTTTATTAAAACTAAAAAGTTTGACCATGATTTGTAAAATAAAAAAAAAGGTACATGTATATTTTGTTATGCTCCGTAATGTAAATTTAATATAATTAGGTTAATCGTAAGAACTATTTTATTTATATATTTATGTAAAAATATAATTATTAATGGTCAAATTATCATATTGATGACTCTAAAAAAAGTCAACTATAAAAGAGATTATGGGACGGAAGAAGTTTGTTTCTTTCGTATTTCTGTTGTTTTTTTAAAGACAACCAATACAACTCCGAGGTGCGTTGACCTCCAATTCTAAAACCCACTTAAACCCTTGCAAATTAAGGCCCAATTTATTTCATACTCTTTTGTTAAAATCTCACGTAATTGAATTAACCTAGGGGTACACTAACATAGGGTATCTCATTTGTAAACAAGGCTAACATACAAACAAAGACACAAAATATCTGTGCAGTACAGACTACAGACATTTTGTGTTTGTGTGTGTTTGTGTTAACCTGGTGTATAAGTGGGGTATCTCATATGGGTGTACCCCTAGCATTGCTCCACATAATTCCCTTCCTTTTGTTTTCATGGGGGATAAATCCCGGGTGAATTTCTCATATGTTGAATGCCAAGGGCGATCTCCTTATACATGTCCAAATGACGATTAATTTTTTTTCATTAGGAAGTAGTGATATTTGAATTCGTTATTTCTAGGTCAGAAACAAAAAACTTATTCAGTCACAAGTTTGTACTTTTTCCAGGCAATTGCTTACTTACCACTTGCAGAGCTCCATTGTGGTTTTCCTTTTCACCCCGGTATAGAACTCCAAGACATTTTGCCTTTGAAACAATATTGGAGAACACGCTTGACCAGTGTTCCTGCAACGTCAAATAATCATTCCTATTACTCCGTATAATGTTTCAAATCTTGTTTTTTTGTCTTCTAAATCTAACATAACAAACCTTTCCAAATTAAACCTTACTCGTATCAATTAATTACTATCATTGCCCTTTGTCCAACGTTTACAATTTCCCCTCCCAAACCTCAAAACAAGATATCCTTTTTGAGACATAAATGCTTAATGCTCTGATGTAATAGATAAGATCCAAATCTTACCACATCCATCAACATATCCAAAAGGCTAACGGGACTCCCGAGAACAATCCCGATTGATCTGGACGCTTGGTTCTTCAAAACACGCGGCGTCACATTGGCAGCCCCATTGATGCCGGGAATATAATGCCGTATCTCTCCTCCGGTGGATACCAACTTGATGATCTCATCCAGAGTGGCATCGAGCGATACGAACCGCTGGGTGTATTCGGGTTCGTTCAGAACCTCGGAGGCCTTGTTGGTGTCAAAGAGCCACAGGGGCTCTTGCTCTTGACCCATTTGCCTCACCTCTTCACTCGCTGACAGCGCAAGATTCATTATTCTCTCTTTGTATGTGTCTGCATTTATCGACACCGATAACAGAAGAGACTGAAAATTCAGGTTTGAATTTTCCTGCTTTGGAATCACAACCCATAGTTAGTTTAGGTAATGTCATAATTAACAAGCTAAAAGATCGAAAGAACACTTAATTATATACGGAGTAGAATTGACATTAGAGAATTAGAATATATGATTGAGGAAACAAAACAACGAACCTGTAGTGTGTGCATGTTTGATATATACTTCGACTGTTTTATGCTGTTTTGTTTTCTCTTCGTTTTTCTGCCGCTTCGGGTGTGAAAATAAAGGATGGTAACTGCTTTCAGTTACAATAAAGGTGGAGATAATCTCCATATATATATCTTACGGTAATTGATACGTACCAAGTAAAAGTTGTAAGACATTAGATGCTAATCTATAGGAGGGAGGTTTGTTAGTGGATATGACTAGTAATTTGTCTAGTTTGATTTTTTGAGTTAAAATTAGATAAATTTTAATTATTAACAATTTATATTACGGAGTATCTATTCGTATAGGAGGAAGGACTAAAATAAAAGTAAAAAAAGATGTCATATCTCAAAATAGGAGTTGAAAGATAAAATATCAAAATAGTTGTTCACTCACCCAATGATCTCTTTTCTACTGATTTGCTCTCCTCCTTGCCGATCAGTTGGTCCATCAACACACTCCACCCTTTTCTTGGCTTCTCTGTTCACTTTGAGCCCATTTTAGTTCATGAGGACAACCCAGAAAAAAATTACTCATCTTCAATGGTCGCAGAGCAAGAACTCCTAACCCATAGAGCTAAGGGACTGCCCTTAAAAGTCTCTATTGAAATGCGTCACTGAAATTTCTTTTCTCGTCTTCTTTGATTCATAGTTTGCACTTTCTTGATAATGGATTATGAAAGCTTGGAAAAATAAAATATCATCACTAATTTGAACTACTCACGTTAGAATTTAATTTATTTCTTACCCCCATTTTAATTTATTAATGTATTTAATTGTTGAAAAAATAAATGATATTCCAGCTATTAAGGCGGATAACAAAATTGCTCTCTACCATTGTCGCCAACACCACCACCACCAACACAATCAGCACCGTCAACTTTACAGTGTCACATCAACTCTCAAATATAGTGTAAAAAAATACTCTATCGCTCTGTTCCTAAAAGATCTTCCCCTTTCATTTGTTTGTTGTCCCAAAATATGTTCCCTTATATATTAAAAAACTATTTTTACCCCTTGTGTTTTCATACCATACCCATCACATCATACATTTTTACTAATAATCCACACATCACATCTTACTTTACCCATCACATCAAGAGTATTTTTGGAAAGTCAACACAAAAATATTGCTCTCTTAAATCTTCAAAAAGTTAATAAAAGAAGATGTTTCAGGGACGGAGGAAGTCTAATGTCAAACATGACATCATATAATGTCACAAATGACGATGCATAATGCCACAGATGCCCATATGTAATGTCACAAATGCGAATTCACAGTGCCACACAGAGCCAAAATGCCAAACCTAACACTTTGCCCTATACAATTGCCAGAAATCGTCACCCCTTTCACAGCCACCTTCATGGTGGCCGGATGACCAACTGCCCCTGACGGTCATTGACCTCATTTTCCCAACATCAAATTGTCATCCCAAATCATCCAAACAAAATTCAAAAAAATAAAATTTAATTAAACTCGAGAGAGAACCTGGTCATTCTTGAAATCAAGGCTTTGAGAGAAAACGATAGGCGTGGGGTATGAATTTGAGAGTGGTGGGGGCAGCACTGGCACTGAAATTAGATGGCGGCAACGACAGGAATCGTTATCATGATATGGAACGTAGAAGCTAGACGGCAGCCAAAACAAGATCCGCACAAGAACAGGGCCGGCCCGGGGGTGGGCCGAGCAGCCCTACAAGATCGGGCCAAGGTGTTTCAAACCTGAGTCCTTTAGGGTGCTAGAAATGCTCCATCCACTTGAGCTACTTAACATATTGTTATCGGATTCACCCAATAGAATATATATATGGACTATTTTGATTTTAATAAAAGTCTCAATTATTTTTAAAAAGAAACACGAGTAGTATCTAGTATGTTTGTTTTATAAACCTATAAAATAGTTCAAAAAATAAATAAATAATTTTTGTTCATGTTTTATCTAAAAAGTAATATGAATACGTATACCTAAAAATTTATTTTATTCAAGAAAAAAGAACTTAAGAAATTATTTTCATCAATAAAAATTAAGAAATACTAATTAATTATACTTTAATATATTAAAATTATATATTTTTTTACTTTTTCTTGTTTCAATCAACTAAATATAAGTCTAGAGTGCTAGATTAAATTACGGAGTATTATCTAAGAACACATTACCTAGATTTTACTTTTTTTAAAATATGAGTATTGCCTTACTATTTTAGCATTTGTTAGATATTCATTATTTATCTTTTATAGTAATGAAAATAATACAAAGAGATCATAGAAAGTGTGGCGACATATGAAAAATTATATTGAAAACTAGATAGAAGAGTGAAAAAACACAAATTACATTTCCGTATTAATTAAAAATATCTAATAATATAATATAAAATATGATTATTTTAATTATAGTTGACCCATTTGTTGACCCCTGGTTTGACCGGTTAACCTTTGACCCACTAGCTCGTCTAAGTCGACATCCGGACTGATTTCCAGAACATTGATTTGGGCATATAAGTATGTATAAACCCTTTACTATAATTTTATAATTTACTCTTTTTTTTAAAAATATTATTACATTTATTGTAATTTAAATATAATTTGTGTGCACATTTTACTTCGTTAGGCAACTAGGAATAAGGTCTATAGGGCTTTTTTTTATCTCGGCCCATGCCATTGACTTCTCAGGGCTGGCCCTGCAGAAGAGGGATGATTTCCGCCAATTTTAGTTTTTAGGGCAGCGCTAAGAATGTTCCGTGATGTTTTTTTTTAATTTAATTAACTCCTATTTTAGGTATATAAGTTAGGGATTCCTATTTTAGGAATATACATAATGATATACTTCTATTTTGGGGGTTGTCTTATTAGTATAATGTACTAAATTATTCTAAAAAATCTCATAAGAATTTAATACTCCCTATTTAAATATTTATCACTTAAATGGGTTTGAACCCCAAGTTTAGTTTTGTATTGTGACTTAAGCTTCCGCACTGTTTTGAATTACTCCAATGGAATTTCTAAAGTATTTGTTTTAAATTATTTTAAAATGTGAGTTGTGTTTGGATACCAATTTCGTAAGAACTCGATTCGCTGGCCCACGTATTCGGATTCTGCAGGTTGGGGTGTTACATGAAGTTTGATATTTGTTGTATCTGAATCCACCCAAATGGAGTTGTTTATTTGTTTTGTTATTTCCTTCATCCAAGTCATATAATCCGAGAGTTTTAATATATCCCTCTACCACCAGCCACACACAAGTATTGATGCCGGCCCACATCTACCATTACAATCATCATTTCAAATCCAACAGATCAATCCTATTTCATTCACAAATGAAATCTGCATTTTCTCTCTCCGTACAAAACTTTCTTAGGTAAATTTTAAGGGTGATATTAGTGTACACCAAACTTTATTTTCACATTTCACAAATAAGATGCATTATTTGTGCCTCCTCGACAAATCTAATTTGTAAAACACAAACAAATCTTGTACATGAAGGCCATGTTTGGCATCAGCATAAGAAATTAGCGTTCGCATTTTGAAAAAACTATTATTTTTTAGCATTAGTATTTTTAGAATTAATCTACTCCATTAAAATTTTATCTGAAGCACTAACACGAATCGTTCAAACAATGCCAAAGTGTAAAAATGAAGCTTGGTGCACACGGTTGTGTAAACCTTGGTGTACACCTACCATTTTTGCAATTTTATTTAATGTTAAAAGTGTGAGGCTATGATATGGAATAATAATTAAAGATGCATGCCTATTGTTCCTTTTTCTGAATTTGGTGCGAACAATTACATAACTGCTTTCAGGAACCAAGAGGACCAAGCAAAACAACAAGAAGATAAAAACGCTCAACAATTCATGAAGCATAATATCAATCGAAGTGCAGGGTCAGAAACTTAGCCGTTTCTTTTCCTACACCTGAACCATTTGTGATAAAAGGGTGCAAGAGCAGCTGGCTATGAGCTGGACAAGGAAAAACCGCAGAGAGTGGAAGCTTAGTACTTCTAGGAACATAGGTTGCATAGTGCAGAGAGTAAAGTGTAGTTTGTTGATGTTAGAGGCTGGTGCAGCTCAGACAGGGGTCCCTGATAGCTTTGAGAAGCTAAACTTCTTAAGGGGATTCTTCACAGGGCTTGCCCATCGCTTCTCACAACTCCCACATTTGATGTCCACGATTTCAGCTATGCGAGACCCCTTCCTGGCACCCTTCTGTCTGACAGGAGTATCATCCACAGAACAACTTTCAGATTCTAGAATGGGAATTTCATGGGTATTCCTGGTGTAGTTCTTTGTCTTGCGCGTGACTTCAGGGCTATCATGGTCTTTTCCACTGATGGCTTCATTTGATGATGGCAGTGGTGGTGTTTTGGGTGTCATTCGTTTGGTAGGACTTGTAGCAGAACCAGCAACAAATGAACAGATCGATGGAGGAGGAAGCTTCTTTCTAACTGGTCCTGCCGCCGTCTGGGGAGAAGATTTCACACCATCTAATTCTTTTGAAACAAGAGAGCTTATTGTACCTGTGGTTCCGACTTTCATGGACCCTCCACCACCCTGGATCGCCTCCAATGTTGGAACCATCTCTTTCTTTCTCAGGTTTCTTCCCTACACAGTGTAACTAATCTAATTACAGACCTTGAGAAAGAAAGTTATGACATGTATATACGTGTAGTTTGACAAGACGATTTGGATGAACATTTACCTCATTCATATACATTAACACAAAGGGAAAATTTGGCAATCGTCGACATTTAAATTCATGCAAATCATAAGATCCATTTGATGAAGAGCCTATTGGAAGGCTTTCAGCTTTCAGAATTTGAAATTGGTATTTAACCATGTGAAAAAGCTAATTTTAGTGTTTGGTATTACCTAAAGAGCCTTTTAAGAAAAACTCATTTTTATAAAATCTTGAAGTTGAAGCTTTTAAAAAGCTTTTTGAGAGTGCTTACTAATGGTACTACCTTGTTACCCTTAACCAAGTGATTCCAATTAATGCCTTGTTCCCATTAAACAAGTGATTCCAATTATTGCCTTGTTGTCCTTAAACAAGTGATTCTAATTATTGTCATAAATGTCATTTTTAAACATGTAGCAATAAATGGTTATTACCTCCCTCCAGAAAAAAAAACCATAGAACAATCATTCCAACATATGGTTAAAATGCTCATATAAAGAGCTAATGGCAAATCAAATTGTTTCAGGTAGGAAAAAGACGAGAAAAAAATCCAAGCAAGCATAAAAAAGGGATCCATACAACAGAATACTTTCCATGGATCTGAAAATTCAAGCGGACTCTAACGGGTCAAATAAGGAAAGACAATGAAATAAAAATAATGAAGTAGCTCTCTTGGACTGCACAGATCAAAAAAGAACATTAAAATGATTTGCACTTTCTTCACAGTAGATATTTAGCTATAACTCTATAAGTGGTTGTTTGATAATTTCAAGGAAATGTGGTCAAATTTGAATTTAACTTAACATCAACTCATTCAATTATTCATGGGAAGCCATAGAGAGTAAATGGACTTTTAAGCAACTTGGACCACACACAATGATGGAAATTGATTATTGGTTGGGGTTCCTAACATACAACCTAATCCCAAAATGTTTGTTAGACCTGGGAAAGTGACTAAATTCCATCATAAATAACACCTTATTGCACCGGAGCGGGGTGCGTGCCCAAAGGGGAGCCGCTGTGGGTTTCCCTCATCATTAAACAACCAAATGCCCTATGCATTGAAACACTGAAGCTGTTATGGAAAGAAAACAAACACGGAGTACTATGGAATTACTCCCTTTGTCCCGAAAAAATTTCCACATTTTCTTTTTGGTTTGTCCTAAAACATGATTTCACTTTCATTTCAAGGAAAAACATGTGTGGTTTATATTATTTGTCTTTTCTGAATAAAATTGCAACTACACAATTTCACCTTTCTTAAAATTCATGGTGTGTCAAATTGGAAACTTATTTCAGGACGAGGGAGCATTATTTTCCATGAGGATCCTTAGAAAATAAAATCATAATCGGAGATGATCATTGGAATTCAAATCTCAAATGTGAACTATATTGGAATTTAGAAGAAAGTCAAAGCTAACCTTGTTATGAAAAAACAAATATCCATGGCACTCTACTGCTGCCCCACCAGTAAAAGGAGTAAAGAAAAAAAAGAGCTTTGAGTAAGCCTTTTTCCACTTTCCAGATTTAAAGCAAATAAGCTTTTGGAGTTTTAATACTTTTCATTTTAGCTGGCAAATAGCAAACAAATGGCAAAAGGGCAGATTGTACTTAAACCTATAAAGAAAGTTGTTTTTATTACATAAACCCAGACCAATTATATAATGTTCGATCAAAAAACTGCTGGTAAGAAAAAAAACCCAATTACCACTACAAAAACCCCATAAATTACGAAGAAGAAGAAGAACAAAAAGACGGATCTATACAAACACGACTATTGAAAAATTGTTTGGAAAGCTAAACAAGAAGTATATTGAGATTGCGATCAGAAATTTACCAGCAAAGGTAGCAACGATTGTCCGGCTCAGAAGCTACTGTGATGCCAAAGAGCCAAGACGATGCAAAAACTCACACAATAGAAGCAATGGTAGAAGCAGAGAAATTTTCAGTCACTATAATAATGGATTCTATCGCTTTCACAAATTCAACAGCTAGAAGCATCCGTCTATGGCAAAATTTGATTTCTCGGTTTCTGTCATTTCTGTGTCTTTAAAGAGCAACTTTAGAGCTTGTCCTGCGCGTGAAGAAGAAAAAATGGACGGTTTATGAATGTGGGAGGTGGAAATTCAATCTCTGGCCACATGGTTTTATTCCAACGGAAAAAGAAAAGCGGCCTTGTTTGTTTTTCGAGCAATTCATAAAGTGCTCTATTATGATTTATGAATATTCTGATCATGTGGATCGTTTTTTATGATGATGGTTGACATTTCCACTATGCTTAGACTTCACCCTTAAACTTCACAATATTCAAATCATATTTCCACAAACTTTTATTTATTTAATATTTTTAATTAATAAATACGAGTATTTATCTTAAAAACAAACAAATGCTTATTCAGTTTATATACTCCCTCCGTACCTAAATATTTGTGACACTTGTATTCCCGAGGTAAAATATCAAGTTTTTTCAATTCATTTTATTTACATATTGTTATAGAAATAAAAAATAAAATTTACATATCAAAAAACTACATGAAAAGTCTTCGAAATCAGAAGTGTCAAAAATATTTTATTTTATCAAATAACCAATGAAAACGTAGAAATAAACAAAAGTTCTCGCGACTGCTGAAAAAGCAAGTGTGGCAAATATTTTGGGACGAAGGAGTAAAAATTTACCATGAAATTTAGATTGATGCAAGAATTTGTTGTAAAGTGGTTTAATATAGAGTAAGGGGATTCAATAAAAAAAATTTCTTTTATAATTCTTTCATAGATAATGACGATGAATATACAAAAATGGTCAACGTGTATATAGTGTGTGAAACTTAAAATATCTAGCTGATTATCTTATCATATTTATTTTTTATGTTAGGGTCCAGACGAATGAAGCTCGATCACAGATGTACATGAAATATGTTCCTAAACAAAATCCATAAATAAAAACTTCTTTCTGCATTTAATACCGGTTTAAAGCATGTCCTTTTTCACCTTCTTCCTGACCTCCTTCTCACCATGTCCATAATTCTCCCTTTTGTTCTTCTTTCTGTTGTACGTATCAATGGTCTCCCCACCACCATCACCATCTTTGTCAACAGCGTCTTCTTTATCTTCCTTTTCTTCAAATTCATGCAGTATGAACCTGCCACCTTTAGTCCAGGTTCCACTCCTCAGTCTTGACAGCCCTGCATCAGAAGAAGAAAGGAGTAGTTTGGGAAAAAATGATTGTGAAGAACGTAATCGTAGACGTAAACGAGTAATTGACAAGTTACTTCAATTATGTAAAAATGGCAAACTTCAGCGGGCTGCATGAAAGAGGTTGCTGCAGAATTCAACATCTCAACCAAAACAGTTAAAAAGATATGGAGTATAGCTGATGGGTATATCCTTATACCCGACCCGGACAACCGAAAGGGACAGGTCAAAATATGACCGGTCACTTTTATCAATCACCAAATGAGGTTAACTCTTCGATTGGGACGGGTCAAAAGTGGACCGGTCACTTCCACTAAAAAAGTGACCGGTCACATTTTGGGCGATAGCCAAAATGTCGCCTAATGTTACAAAGGACATTCTAGAAGACCAGAGACGGGTTGAGCACAAAGAATGACCGGGTAACTTTTGAGAGAAGGTGACCGGTCATATCACTTTACTTGGCTAACATTGGTTCAGTCTCTTAGGCATGGTGAACCACGTCAGAGGTCAAGGGGACACCCCG